ATTTTTATGCTTTTCAAAAATCAAATTGACCTCCAAAAGACAACAAATCAGTTTTTCATAAAATGTCACAACTCTTTGGAAATAGGTATATTCATGTTTTATAGATGAAAAGCTTACAGGGCTAGACTACCTGGCCAAAGACTCACAGTCAGTCAATTACACATTGTCAGAATGTCTACCTCAGATTTACACAGGCAACTCAAACTTAGCATATCCAAAATGAAACTTATTCATTCATTCTTAAAACCTGATCCTCTTCCTTAATCCCTTATCCTGATCAGTGTTACAACCATCTTCCTACATATCCAAGCCAAAGCTTCTTCCTCAGAACTGCTATTAAACTGATCTCTTATTTGGTTTATTCTATCTCTTTAACTAAAATATTTAAATTGAGCCTATCATTCTTTCCTATTTTTTACCCTTCATTGCATATCTACTTTAATTTATACATATATTTGTTACAGTTTTTATTAAAGTATATTGAAATTAGTGTTCCTTGAGACAGAATCTTTTTCATTTTGTCTTTTAGATCATTAGTATTAAGGGAAGAATGGAAATGAGAGAAAAGGAATGCATTCAATTTCAGCCTTTTCTTTTAATTAATTAATTCATTCGGTAACTATTGACTGTACTGTGTCAGGTACAGTGCTAGTTGCTGGGGACACAGCATTATGGTCAAATTGACTTAAGTAAATAAGTAATCATATAAATACTTAAAACAATTAATTAACAGTTAATTTGAAGAAATTTTTGGTTCCTAGAAACAGCTTAGAAGAGGAACTCCTTCTGTATCAGAGTCTGGGAGTTCAGGTAGGGAGAAGAGTCAGGGAAGGCCACACATACCAAGCAAGAAAAACAAGAGCAACAAAGAATATTATGTCAGCATAGTATCAGATGGTTTGGTGAGGTTCTTTTCTCTTCTGCTGAATCTATAGGTTCTGAACCGTCAAGAGTGTGTTTTAGACTACATCTTGATAACAGGACCAATACATAACTGGTTTTGCTTGACTGAAAGGTATATTTGGGGGCATCTAGTGTATGATAAAATTATATAAATTGTTCACATCTTTTTAAAAAAAATTCCTAATTTCTTTCTTGCTTCCTATAATCTTCAGATTCTTTATTGTCTTTTTTCTCTCATGTGCTTTGCTACTTCTGATCTATGTTGTATCTCTGTTACAGTGTCTGCTTTGTCTTATTCTGCCTCTCTCTGCTTTTCTTTATCCCTTGGATCATTAATGTTTTTTCTGTTTCTTTTTTGGCTTTTATCGAAAACGAGGGAAAAAAATAAAAAAGAATTCAAGTTAAAATTCCCTAAATATACATAATCTTATATATGTTTGCATTTGTATACTTCAGCTTTTCAGATCATGATACCTTTTTTTTCAGTCTCTTTGCTATTGTTGGTACTTTTTAAACATGTTAACTGTGGTGGTGTGTAGAAAATGAGAGAGAATAAAAGCAAACAAATCAGAGTTTTCTGATTAGAATAAAAGCAAACAAATTATAATTTTCAGAAAAATTTGAAATTTGTTTTTCATTTGAGGTCAATGTTTGGCATCTTAGGATTGAACAAGGTGAATGACTGTAGTTTCAGAAAAGAAAAAGGTGATATTGACTGATTTAGGGATAAATCAAGAAATGCGACATTTCACGCATGGATCTTTTCACTTAGAGTGCAAGGATGTCAGTCAGAATTTGCATGATATAGGAAATCAATTGAAACTTGAGCCCATAGACATTTACTTCAGCAAAATTCTTACTAATTATCATGACTGTGTCAAGTTAGACTGTTGCAGGCATAATTTAAAGTTTACAAAAGGTTGAAATTCTTTTGTCTAATTGTAAACCTCATATTAATGAGATATAATTTATAGTTCATCAGATATATTTCATATAACACCAACTATTATTTTAAGTCTTTATTTAAATCAGCAAAGTGTTATGTGTTGTACATACCACTAGTAAACCTTAGTACCTTCCCCAAAGTCTTTTAAACAGAAAATTAAAGCCATGTATAGCTGCTTCAAATCACCTCTTTTCTGAAAAGACAAGTTTTCTAAGTTTTGTGTTGTTTCAAGTGACACAGTGTGAGATATACTTATTGTAGACCTGATTTTCATTTTCTGAAAATTATTTTTGTTGATTCTTAATCTTTAGATATTGAATGATCTAGCTTAGAAAATTATGTCAAATATTTTAAATTGGCACTTACAGTGCATTAACATCAAAGATCTAGTCTCATTTTCCAACACTCTATATCAAGGATTTGCAAAGTAAGAACTTATGTTGAAATTCGGCCTGCCACCTGTTTTGTAAATAAAGTTTTATTGGGATACAACTATACTTGATCACTTATTGTGTATGGCTGCTTTTGTACTACAGAGGCAGAATTTCGTAGCTATGGTAGAGAGCATATGGTAAAGCCTAAAATAATTACTATTTGGCCATTTGCAGAAAAACTTGGCTGATCCCTACTCTATATAATCTAGTTGAGACTAAATTATGACATAATCTTCTTTGATAAATCTGTGATATCTGTGATATTTCCTGAAACTTTTAAAGAAATACAAGTAGAGAAATACAAGTATTGACTTTTTCTCTTTCCAGACTCACGGTTGTGTTGGAAGTTAGTTGCATCTATGCAAATTTTCAAATCTCGAAGTAATAATTTTTTCATTTTGACTAAAGTTATATTTTTCTTTTGCTGGCCATTTATCACTATACTTACATCAATTATAAAGAATAATAACAAAGCAAGATTGAGATCCAAATGCTAAGTGACTCACTTAGCTCACTTACGTCCTGTGTGTCAGACCTAGTACAGTAGCCTTACCAAAAGGATAATTTGAATTTATTTATCAGCAAAATGACAAGTCAGTATATATTGTGTGCTTTTAGCAGCAATCACACAAATTATTTAAAGTCTAAATACTAAATTCATGTGCCAGGGATCTGGAATAGCCCTTGATAAGAACTTTTGATTCTGATTTAAAAATATATTTAAATTAGTAGGGAATTTTAATATTAGACTAAATACAATGATCTTAAACCTTTCTTATTGAAAGCTGTTAATTTAAAACATTTGAACTCTTCATCTTCCTCTCCTTAAAGTAATGCTTTACTTTGCAATGCCTGAAGACAACCTATAAATATTACATAGAACTTCCATATACTTTTTTTGTGTGTGTTGATTATTTGGAATATACAGACTAGGTAACTTACTATTATTTCCTTCCTGGTCATATAAAATTCTTTGAAACTAAAAATAGAGATTTATAACCTTGGTAACTAAATGTCTTTTGTTATTGCAAAGGTTCCAGAGGAATCTACCAGTCTCAATGTTTAATTATCATGTATCTGTTCACATTTTAAATTATCTAGTTTAACAAGGTAATTGTGAAGTTTGTAAGCATTTTAATTGGATTTTATTGGGTAGCCTCATAATTAGATGTTACTTTGATTTTACCTAAAAAGAATGACAATAAAAGATAATATAAGATAAATATTTCTCACCACATATAACTTCCTTAAAAATCGTATTTAGCCAACCAATTACTGCTGGTTAAATGCCACTCATTTTTTTCAAATATTTTCACTATGATAATAAATAAATGTAAGAATTTTATTATCTTATAATTTTCTGTTAGGTTTTTCAATTGAGATGAAAAGAAGTTTCACAATTTATCTTCACAATTCTTATAGAACAAACTTTTGTTAGGCAGCATCATTGAAAATTGCTCATTTATTTTGAACAAAAAAAGATAAAAGATGAAAGTAGTTGCCCTTCTTGAAATGCAAACCTAAGTGGACGTTAGTAGTTTCAGATACATTGAATTATATATAACTTAAAATTACTATACATTCTTGTTAACTTATACTATTTAAGTATGTCTAGAAATAACTCTTTAATATTTGTGTATATATTTTTTTCTGTTAAAATACTAAGTTCTAGAAGTACTACTTTTCCATGAGTGTAGCAATTTTATCCAGTTGTGATGTTTGGAACCATTTTGTGGTATATTTATTAGGTGTCTTCTATTATCTTTGGCTAGTATCCTCTTTTATGGTAAATGTTAAATCATAGGAACACAGAAACAGAGGAAAACTTGAGAAAACAGAAACTTGGATATCTAAACTTTTAAATGTAATTTTAAAATAATTGAGATCCTTTCTAGAATCTATACCTTTTCACTAATGCATATTACAAATGTTCTTTTAATTTACGTACTTGGAATGGTTGTCTAAATTATATTATAGACATTTTCTATGTAATTTAAAACTGCTTTCTTTACCTTTACTGCATTTCTTCAATTTCTCAACATCAATAAACATTTCAGTAGCCACTATGACTCCTAAAAGACAAAATGCATTTCTGAGGGGAGCCCATTTGTATTTTTTGTCTTTATGTTGAATAATTCTACATACATTATGAAGAAGAAAATAACATTAGTCATCTAAAAACTTGGTACAATTTGGTCAGCCTTCCTATACGTTTGTTTTATAATAACAACTAGGTAACAGCAAGAGATTTTTACTTCAAATTTAGTGTAATTATTTGTTATTGCTTTTGAGGGAACATAGTTAAACTTTGTAATAAAAATACTTGCCTTGTTTTACTTATGATGGTGTCCAAAAAAAGAGAGGAAATACAGTTTCTGATAAAAATGGAAAGTCCAGGAATAAATATAATGATGAGAATGAGTGCTTTTATCACTGGGGAACTTTCTTCATCTAAGCACATATGAACAATTGATCCTTGTAGTCATATATAGCAGTAAACATTAATAACTTAACAGTCTGAAGTCAGTGCAGAAGATATGGAGCATTATTGAAAGATGGAGTCAAGCAGGTGGCACTTTAATATGTTCAGTGTCATGGTTGACTCTAAAGACTAGTCGAATGAAATTACTTGAGGTTCTAAAGATTTAAAAAGCGAACTCATTTTGCTGCACTAAGGAAATGCTACTGATCAGGCTTTCTGTGTCCCTTTTTTCTAGGCTAGAAAATATTAACCCTGAAGAAAATGACATGGTAAGCCATTCTCTGAGGAGATTTCTTGATGTCAGTCTTATATCTTAGAGGCTTAAGTTCAATTGAGTGGGTTTCAAGAACTAAGATGTGGGAAAAAGAAGAATTGACACACTAATAATGTACATCTTTGCTGCAATATGAAAATTCAATAACTTCACTCAGTCAATTTACAATTCACATGTGCCTATTAATTAAAACCCTATATTAAATAAAATATATTAAAACTTCATGTCTGACTAACATATAATGGTGTTGGTAGACATTACAGGAATTACTGAACAGAATAAACAATGCAGACACAGGGATAGCTATTCAGAAGAATGGAGCTATAATTGTGGATAGAATCTACAAGACCAAGGAATGTAAAATGAGAATAACTGCAGAAGAAATGAGTGCACTAATAGAAGAACGGGATGCTGCCTTGTCTAAGGTAACTCTGCACGTATCTGTAAAAGCATATACTTACCATTTTCCTCTCTCTTTTTTTAACCATTAAAAAATGACTGTGGCCCAGATACTCTTAATTCACATTAGTTTTTAGCACATAATTAATACCATAATGACTAGCTATATTAAAATAATTATGTATTTTATTTTACTACTGTTCAAAATATGAGACCTCATTTTAAATAAAATTTAATGCAGTCTCATTTCTTAATAAAATTAAACTTGTTTTATAACAGGCTAACTTGTTATAGAAATTTAGTTATATTTTTTCAATTAATCACTTTTATATGGGACTTCTTACTTAAGTTACAGTTTTGTGAAGACTATGTCTGTATTACTGTTTTATTCCCAATGCCTGATTCAGTACCTTTTAGTAAAAATCTTGATTAATGGATCAAAATTATTCATGTATTTTTTTCTGAATGCTACTTAGACTTTCCTGCTTTACCTGAAACCTGATTACCTCCCTTAGGCCACTGCTTCCAACACAGTCCTTTCAACTAGTGACTGTGCTCTCTCTCATACCAGTTATAACACTGGGCTTGGAGGCTTGTTTCTCGTTATTGTATTTATTTATTTGTTTGTTTATTTATTTGTGTGTGTGTGTGTGTGTGTGTGTGTGTGTGTGTGTGTGTGTGTTTAGATTTGGTATCACCTTGTTTCCCAGGCTGCTCTTGAACTCCTGGCCTCAAGTGATCCTCCTGCCTCGACCTCCCAAAGTATTGGGATTACAGGCATGAGCCACCACACCTGGCCTTGTTAGTGTTTTCAGATCAATGCCTTTTTCACTCCCTAAACACCTCCAGCTTTGAAACTCACGCATCAGACTCTAGCACCCAATATACACTATTGTTGTAGTCATGTACACACTTCTATATCACTTCCCTTGTTTTGTTAAGATTTTTGGGTCTATTCCAATGTCTCTTTCTTCAGCCTACTCCTGTCATAATTCTTGGTGATGTAAATTCCTATGTAGTTAATCCTTTCAAAAATTGCAGCCTCTTATTTCCTAAATTTCTCTACTTTAGTCATTGTGTACTGCGCACTGTATCTGCTATCTACTCTGTGGTCATACTCTGTGGTCATACTCTATTCCTGGTCATTCTGAGTGTCAATGTCAAGCTTCCCACTTTCTGCTCTCTTTCTAGCTCACTCATGCTAGAACTCTGACTCCAGCTTTTTTTTTTTTTTTTTTTTAGACAGAGTCTCGCTCTGTCACCCAGGCTGGAGTGCAGTGGTGTGATCTTGGCTCACTGCAGTCTCTGCCTCCCAGGTTCAAGTGCTTCTCCTGTCTCAGCCTCCTGAGCAGCTGGGACTACAGGTGTGTGCCATGACGCCCGGCTAATTTTTTGGTATTTTGTGTAGAGACAGGGTTTTGCCATGCTGGCCAGGCTGGTCTTGAACTGCTGACCTCAAGTGATCTGCCCACCTCGGCCTCCGAAAATGCTGGGATTACAGATGTGAGCCACTGTGCCTGGCCTCAACTTATTTCTATCAGTCTTACTAACTCTTTTCTATCCCTCAAACCCCTTATGTCCTTACTCCCCCACCCCAACACACACACACATCTAGCCAACTTGCATATAATGTAACCTCATTTCTCTTGACCCTCTTCATTTGTCCTACTCACCCAGCAAAATCAAAACCTAGTTAAATGAACCTTTCTATCTGTTTTGTATCTTCACAGCTTTATAAGGCAGGAGAAAAATCACACAGATTTACTGACTGCACTTACCTTAAATCCATGACCAACTATTAATATATTCAGTTAGGTTTTTAGTGTTGCCTGGCAACTTCTTGCTTTTTGCTTGTCTATTCGCTCTTCCCTCTAGAGGACTGTTTTATCTCTTCTTTCTCCTTAGTTATCTAACCTCTCCTCCCAGTTAAAAAGATAACTTCTGCATGCCCACAGCCATTTCATCTACCAGCCTGCCTGCATTTGCACCCATGTGCTCTGCCTTTTCTACTTTACTTTTTTCTAACTACTTGCTTCTATTTAAAGACAATCTCTCTATTTCCGTACTAGTTCACATCTTTTCTGGCCTTCACAAGGTGATCGCTTAACCACTTTTTCCTTTTCTCTCCTACTTCATAAAATGTTTCATGTTAGTTCATTTCCATTGCTATCCAAAATGCCTTACCATCTCCCATGGAGGCTGAGTAGAAGTTTTGGTAAGTCTTGGCCTAGTTGTGGTTCACCCCTCTATTTTGGATGAGGCCCCCCAAACTGAGAGCTGAGTATTTACAAGGGCCTGACTGCTGGATGATCCTGTGTTCTAGTGTGTGTTTGTTTCCTCAGCACTGGTAGACTGTGGAAAACTCTACTATTTTTTCAGAGGTTTGAGGGCTTAGCTTTTTAACTTAAAGACCTGTAGAAGTTTGGAATTTGGCAAACGATTTGGTTCAGAAACAAGTCTCAAATCTCCATTTTGTCACCTCAGCTCTGAATAGCTGTCAAAAGCTTAGGTGGTTTCTCTGTCTTCCAGCAGGAGTTCTTTGCCTAGTTAAAGCCTGATTTCTTAGTGTTTTCCCAATACCTAGAATATGACACTTGCAGGGGGGAAAAATAACTGCATATCCTCCAATGATTCCTCTCCAGTTAATTCCTCTTTAGAATCTTAGACACTCAAGCCATTATTGCAGCAACAGCCCTCTGATACCTTTAGGTAGATGATTTTTGTATTAAATCTGGCTTTTCTTGTTCTTGAATGAAGCATTGGTTCACCACAAATGATTCCATGCTGTCTAGACATGGAAGTAAGTTAACTAAAAATAAGCACATAGAGCATAATTAAATTCACTGCCACTCATTCCCTCTTCCTATCTTTTCTCCCTCCACTGATTTTCATGGTATAAAAGGATAAATAAATAATAAGTTAACATTTGGTAATATTTGCTGACAAGTTGTTATGTATAAATACCACTGCACTATATTTATGGTTATATTTTATGAGAAAGGAGTTGTTTAGTTATTTTAACTTGCTTATTTGCAAGCCTTATGGCTCAATAAATACTCATTTTAATTTTTATGTTACAGTCATTATATACTTACGCTTTTGAATTATTGTCTTATATTTCTGAATGGAAACTTTTCTTAACTTCGATTTTTAAAAAATAAACTTGTTGGAATAGTTTTAGATTACAGAAAAGTTTCAAAAATAGTACAATATAGATAGCTCCCATATATTACCCAGTTTTGGTTTTCCCCAATTTTGTTGTCTTAAATCATTGTGATGTGTTCGTGAAAGTTAGGAAACCAACATTGGTACATTAGTATCAATTCAACTCTAGATGTTATTCAGAATTAACCAGTTTTCATTAGTGTCCTTCTTATGTTTCATAATTCAATCCAGGGTAGCATATTGCATTTAATTGTCACGTTCTTCCAGTCTCCTCTGCTTGGTGACAGCCTATTCATCTTTCCTTGTATTTTTTTCCTCCATAACCTCAATAATTTTTTGAAGAGTACCTCTCACATATTTTATAGAATATCTCTGAATTTGGGTTTGTTTTTCTCATGATTAAAGTGAAATTTTGAGTTTTGGGAAAGAATACCACAGGGATTTTGCCTTAATTTAATTTAATTAATTTTTTACTTACTTTGAGAATGGATTCTCACTCTGTCACCAAGGCTGGAGTGCAGTGGCACCATCTTGGCTCACTGCAACCTCTGCCTCCTGAGTTCAAGTGATTTTCTTGCCTCAGCCTCACAAGTAGCTGGTATTACAAGCAGGTGCCACCACACCTGGCTAATTTTTTGTACTTTTTTAGTAGAGACGGGGTTTCATCATGTTGGCCAAGGTGGTCTAGAACTCCTGACCTCAAATGATACGCCCGCCTCAGCCTCCCAAAGTGCTGGGATTACAGTTGTGAGCCACCGTGCCCAGCCTTAATTTTAAAGCTATTATTTAGCATCAGACATTTTCTAATTATGTCTTCTGTATAGTGCTAGGAAAACTTTAGTCACATTCCACATAGATATTAAAAATTTCTGATTCAGTGATAATTTGTTGACTTTGATATACTTGATATCTTACTTTATTTTTCAAATCAAGTCAAAATCATTTATTTACTTTAACTGGCCTAGTTAAAAATGTTACCTTTTTCAGATAAATTGTTATACTCTCATTTATCCCAAATTGTTTTTTCATTTATCTTCTATCTCAAACTGAGAGCCAAAAGCCTTAAAGTCTTTCATAGCATTAATTTAAAAATTATAATTAGCAATTGTTTGATCAAGGAATTATATTACCAACCAGTCCTCTATTCTTTCTTTATCATTTTTTTGGCCAGTTCACACTTCCCTATTTTATTCAAATTGTAGAAATATCTGGAATCAGAAGATAAAGCTGTAAAATTCCATTTCTTCACTGTTCTTTTCCGGGATCTTTCAGATTATTATTCTATTCAAACAAAAAATTTAGAATTTTAATTGCCAAGATTTTTATAGAATTATAGAATTTTAAATTTCATAGGACCTTAGTTAGGAGTCATCTAGTTAAATTATTCACTAAATCAAGGATCTGATCTGTCACTAATTTTTAATTTAGTCAAATATCCATCTTCTGTTAATATCTAGCCATTGGTGTTAGAATTGGTCTCAGAACATTTGATAAATAAATCATATTGCATCAAATATATTCAAATATTTATCAGTAATGTCTTAAGTCATGAGGGCTAGGCCTAGAAGCACAATTGGACCCAGGTTACACATCAGTAAGCAACAGAAAATTATTGAACTAGCCAGGATTGGTGGTTTATTAGCTTTGAGGGCTGACTTTATTGGGAGATACAGTAATTAAAGTAATTATTCCTAGATATTCTGGCAAAATTAGGCTAGCTCTAGGATATGTTTTCCTTATAAGGGTATACATAAATGGGCAAGGCCTGGCACCTGGAGGCTTTGGGTCTTATTGGTATTTGTAGTTAGTAAGATAATATTGTAGAGCTCTTCATTGATTGGACCCTTGCTGGTACCTAAGT